TCCTCTATTGAAATATTCACAAATGTACAGCCATCTCCATTATCTAATTCCAGAATAGTTTCGTCACTCTGGAAACACACAGCCAGATCCCCAGTAGCAGCTGTCTCCCGTCGACTCTGTCCCCTAACCTCTGGCCACCACTGACCTGCTTTCTGTTTGTATGGGCTGACAGACCTGGCCATTCCACAGGAATGGAATGATGGTGACACTAGGTGGCCTCTTTGGGACCATTCTCACTCAGCACATTTCCGAGGCCCCTCCCTGTGTGACGCATGTGGTGTTCCTTTGTGTAGGTTATTGTTTTCAGTCATTCGTTCATTGCCGGGTGTTCAGGCCGTTTCCTGCTGTGCCTGTTGTGCAGGCGGCTGCTGCTGCTGCGGCTGTTCAGGTGCAAGCTTTTGCATGGGATGTGCCACCCTTTCTCTTAGGGCTGCGCTGAGGGTTAGAGTTGCAGGCTCATGTGGTTACCCTCAGTTGAGCATTTTGAGGGCTGTTAGACTCTCCCACAGGGACTGCACCATGGATAAGAGAGTCCGTGTTTGCTCACCTCCTCACCAACACTTCTGTTTTGTGACAGGGTCTCACTGTAGTTCAGGCTGGGCTTAAACTCACTGTGTAGCCCAGGCTGGCCTCCAACTCATGGCAATCCTCCTGCCTCAGCCTCCAGAGTGCTGGGATCACAGGTGTGCACTGTCACTTCTGGTTGTCCTTTTTAATTTTTTATTTGTTTAATTTTATTTATTTATTTATTTATTTATTTATTTTTTGGCAGAACCCAGGGTTGAACTCAGGCCCTTGTGCTTGCCAAGCAAGCGCTTATTCTACTGAGCTATCTCCCAGCCCCTCTCCTTTTTAGATTAGGTTGTTTCTCTTTATATATATGCTGAAATGTAAAAGAGTTTTTTGTATATTCTAGGTGCAGTTTTTTAGGCACACATGATTTTCAAATATTTCCCATTGTGTGACTTGTGTTTCCACCTTTTTTTGGGGGGGGGGGTGAGCTAGGGATCAAACTCAGGACCTAGTGCTTGCCAGGCAGGGGCTTTTGCCACCGAGCTATGTCCCCAGCCTTTCTTCATGGTATCTTTTATTTTTTTTTAATTTTATTTATTTATTTATTTATTTGTGTGTGTGTGTGTGTGTGTGTGTGTGTGTGTGTGTGTGTGGCCAGCTCAGCCCACCAGGGGGCGGGGCTGGCTGGCATGTGGTGCTGGGGGATTGAACCGCGGTCCCTGTGCTTTGCTAAGCTTGTTCTAAGTAGGTGCTTTAGACCACTGAGCCATCTCACCAGCTCCATGGTATCTTTTAAAGCACAGACATTTTTGATGTTGAAATCCAACTTCCATGGGGCTTTTCCTTTTTCATGTTCTGATATCATTTACAAGAAACCATTGCCTAATTTAAGGTCAAAAAGATGTAGTCCTGGGCCAGCCAAATAGCTCAGCAGATTAAAGTGCCTGCAAGGGGCTGGTGAGATGGCTCAGTGGTCTAAAGCACCTACTTAGAACAAGCTAAGCAAAGCACAGGGACCCCGGTTCAATCCCCCAGCACCACATGCCAGCCAGCCCCGCCCCCTGGTGGGCTGAGCTGGCCACACACACACACACAAATAACAATAAATAAATAAGAACAAATCATTAAAGTGCCTGCAAGCAGGCACAGGGGCCAGGGGTTCAATCCCCAAGCCTGCTATGCTGGCCCCGCCCCCGAGCATGCTGAGATGATGAATAAGACTGGGCGTGGGGCGCACACCTGTCCTCCCAGCTCTTGGGAGGTTGTAAACAGACAGATCACTACAGTCCAGTCTATTAGTGAGATGCTGAACACCATGTAGACACTTCCCAAAATATAAGAGAGAAAAAAAAAGATGTAGTCCTCTTGCCTTTACCATTTTGCCCTACATTTAGATCTGTTTTTTTTTTTTTTAAGTAGAACAGTTTCAATAATTAATACATTGCATGTTTTTGTCTTAGTGGTTATTCATGGTACAAGATGCAGACATGCTATCCTGTCCACAAACACTAGTAGAACAAATCTTTCTATTCATTGAATTAAGAGAATGCAGCTGTACATCTATCCTATTTTGAATAAACAGACACAAATGGTTGTTCATTTGTATACCCCTTTTTTTGTTTAGTTTTGTCAGAGAAGGGTATTCCATTGTCATTTAAATATAGGTACGTGAATTCAGCAAAATATTCCAATACAGTCCAGTAGTCCATAATAGTAGTGGGCTTTCCATAAGACTGGCAATGTCAGAAGTTGTTGACTTGAGCATTTCACAGCTCAACATACTAATGTTGCTTTACTTTTCATACTTCGTTTTTATACTTTTCTGCTGGATGGTTAAGACCAGCATAAAGCAAGATCTATATAACAAGTAATGTAACTTTGGATCTGACAAGGTCAGTCAACTCCCCCCAGGATTTATCCTGAAACCCTGTACCACACTTTATAGATCCTTAGTCGTTGTCAGCCATGTGGATGAGTCACGGCCATTGCTTGACCAATTTGCTCTCTGTGAAAGTCTGAGAGAATGTTTTCTCTCCATGTGGCTCTCCTTAGGCACACTCTACACCATCGATCACTTTCCTCCGTGGCCCCGTAATCTCCTTTTAGATCTGTCATAGTCCAGATGTTTGCCTAGTGCCTAGAATGATGCCTGATGTGACAGCCATCAAGGTAGCTCGGTGGACTAAAGCGCCTGCTTAGGAGACCTTAGACAAGCGCAGGGACCAGAGGCCATGGTTCAGTCGCTGGCACCACACAATGCACCAGTCCTGCCCCGAGGGCAGGTTGAGCCAGCCGCAGTCTGGTCGTGGTGGTGCAAGCCTGTAATCCCAGCGCTGGGGAGGCTGAAAACAGGAGGATCACTGAGTCTGAGCTGCACAGTGAGACCCTGCAACAACCAAATACATTAAAAAAAAAAAAAAAGTGCCTGATGTCCATAACAGAATAAATTGAATGACAAATAAATGACAAGTAAATGAATGAACAGACACCTCCTTCTCATCCTACTCTGTGGCTAGTGTAGCTAATAGTTGAGTTTTAAAAGCTGCATGTCAGGCTGGGGATGTAGCTGGGTGGTAGAGCTCTTATGGCCATGTGTGAGGCCTGAGTTCCATCCCCAGCACTACAGAAAGGGGATTGTGGGGGCCGGGGACGTGGTTGGGGGCTGGGGACGTGGCTCAGTAAGATAAGCGCTTCACTGGCAAATGCAAGGATCTGAGTTCAATCCCTGGTTCCGCAAAAAAAAAAGAAAAAAAAGAAAAAAAGAAGAAAAGAAAAGAAAGGGGATTGCGCCCCAAAGAGGGTCAGTTGTCTATTCTGATAGCACCACCCCCACCCCCACCCCCACCCCCGTGGAAGCTGCTGGTGGTGAGCTCTTTTTTTTTTTTTTTTTGGTGGAACCAGGGATTGAACTCAGGCCATTGTGCTTGCCAGGGAAGCGCTTATTCCACTGAGCCATCTCCCCGGCCCTGTGGTGAGCTCTTGTGGCTCTTTGTCTCCCACCTTTCTGATATTTTCCTTTAGTTTTGCTTCTGTTTAGTTTCCCTGTTTAAGAAAATCTGGCTAAAATTTTTTTTTAAGCAGAAGCTGCGTAGATATATAAGCAGAATTGTTCCTGTCATAAAAATTTTGTTCTGATATTTTGGGGGCTGATCTTTCTTGTGTCCGATGTATAAAATTCAGATGAGGTAGCAACATATAAATCACAAGATGTTTACGCTTAGTTGCCTCTTGGGTTGGTTGGTCTGGCTGGAACTTCTGTGTGCAGGCAGAAAGACCGTGGAACGTCAACAGTTAGGGAGTTCAAGCGAAGCGCCCTTGGTAGTTCCTTGTACCATCATTTCAGCAATATTTTTAAGATTTTCAAAAAATTGTCACTCACCAGGCATGGTAGCAAATACCTGTAATCCCAGCGTTCAGGAGGCAGAGGCAGGAGAATCACTACAAGTTTGAGAACAGCCTAGACTACAAAGTGAGTTCAAGACCAGCCTGAGCTGCTTGGTGAAATCTTGTCTCAAAAAACAGAACAACAACAACAAAAACTGTCATTCAGGTCAGGAATATAGCATATCGGCACAGTGCCTACCTGGTAAGTGCAAGATCCTGAGTTCGATTCCCAGTACATAAAAAAAAAATCCTGTCAGTCATGTTCCAACACACAGAGGGCGTTAGCTATGGCTTGAAAGGTTACTGTCTGTGTGCTACATTTTTTTCCCAGTACTTGGTATTAAACCTCACACCTAAATAGGCAAGTGTTCTCCACAAGCTACTACCCTAGCCCTTGTTTTTTGTTTTTTTTTTATTTTTTTTGAGATAGGGTCTCGCTGTGTAGCGCAAACTGGCCTTGAGCTCCCTATGTAACCCAGGCTGGCCTCAGACTTGCAGTGATCCTCCTGCCTCATTCTCCCGAGTGCTGGGATTACAGCTGTGCGTCACCACAGCACAGTCCTTCTGACTTCTTATTGAGACAGAATCTTGCTGAGTTCCCCAGCGAAGCTTCACTTTGCTGTCACTCCTGCCCCGGCCTCCTAAAGGCTGCGCTTACGTGCCTGTGTACCCCCTGAGCCCAGCCATGCACTAGTGTCCTGCATGCATTTTTCATGTAGCTGAGGAGGAAACAAGGGAAGGCAGGTGACCGAGATCTCAGGACCGGGCTGAGCATCGGAACAAGAAGCCTACTTGGTCTCGGCCTCCAGGCTTTGTGTGGTGGATATATCTCACATCACAAGCCTTCCCCAGGGAGTGCCTGACTTCCTGTCCCTCTGGTCATCACAGAGCTGGGCTTGGGGAAGGCAGATGGGAGACAGCCCAGGAGTTTCAAGAACAGAGGGGGCCTGCTGCTTGCCTGAGACTTGAAGTAGGACCACGGGTGAGGAGGGAACCCCTCTGCCCCCACTAGTCTGCAGCAGACCCTAAGGCCTCAGTGTCCTGGGGCATCTGAGACTCTCCCGAGGCATCCCTAACCCCCTTCTGCCTTGCCTGTCCCCCAGGAGCTGAAGTTGCCTGCCTTCCGAGCCCACTCCCCACTCCTGAAGAGCCGCCGGTTCTTCGTGGACATCCTGACTCTGCTGAGCAGCCACTGCCAGCTGTGCCCTGCAGCCCGGCACCTGGCTGTCTACCTGCTGGACCACTTCATGGACCGCTACAACATCCCGGCCTCCAAGCAGCTCTACGCTGTGGCCGTCTCCTGCCTCCTACTCGCCAGTAAGTGCAAGCCCGTCCCTCCCTCCGCACCCGTGCCCTTTCTGCTGCCACGGCAACAAGGCTTTCAGAGGGCCCTGCACATCCATGTTCATCCTTGGCTTGGTGTGAGCTCTATTGATAACCACCAGCATTTTTAGCATCTGGAATGCAACAGACTAAGTGGCAAGGATTTTAGCAACTTGATCAGAATAAATGCACACCGTGGGCCCTAGGAAACAAATGCTTTCAGTGCCCCATCTTAGCAAGGCCCAGAGAATTTAAGAAACTTGCTGCAAGCTTGGCATGATGGTGCACATCAGTAATCCCAGTGCTCTGGGAGGCCAAGCAGGAGGATTGCAAGTTCAAGCCCAGCATGGACAACTTAGACTTTGTCTCAAAATAAAGGCTAAGGATATGTCCCAGTGCAAAGCTTCAGTCCAGTCCTCAGTGCAAGGAAAGAAAGAAAGAAGAAGGAAGGAAGGAAGGAAGGAAGGAAGGAAGGAAGGAAGGAAGGAAGGAAGGAAGGAAAAAGAAGGAAGAAAGGGGAAGGAAAGGAAGGAAGGAAAGAGAAGCAGGGACGGGGAAGAGAGAGAAAAGGGAGAGAGGGTAGAAGAAAGAAAGAAGGGAGTTAGTTGCTGTGGGCTGCCCAGCTAATACAATGCAGACAAGATTTGCCACAGGCACTGCAGGCTGCCGGAGCTGTCCTCTGGACTCCTGCTGCTTGGAGCACTGGGAGGGAGCCCTAGCAATCAGTGTTCTGAGATGTGGTTAGGAATATGACTGGTTAATTTGGCCCTAAGCAGGACCCATTATGTAGTCACAAGGCCTGACACAGCCCTCTTGGGGTCTGCACCTCACAGAGGGGCCTTGCTGAGGGCACGGCCTGGCGGAGGCCAGCTGCCCGCCTTGGCAGGATCACTGTTCAGCATGCTCCTGTTTGGACCCTGAGCACACAAGGCTGCACACCACCGTGCCATTTAAAACCCTGCTGAGCATCTCAGGATAAAGGCAGACCCACACGTTCTCGCCTCTCCGACCCTGTGCCTTTCTCCTCTTTACCCTCTGGGCTCCAGCCCCACTGGCGGAGCCCCTTCTTGCCCAGAGCCCTTTCCTGCCCAGAGCTTTGCATGAGCTGTTCCTCTGCATGGTGGCTTCTTGTTGCTTTTGGCCTGTAAACCTGGTGCAATGTCTCTGTGGCCTGCAAGCTGGAACCTTCCCACCCTACCCTTGATGGGTCATGATTCTAACCTACAGACCTGGGTGTCATGGGCTTGGAACAATAAGCACCCACCGCTGCCACTAGCCTGTGAGTTTCAGAGAGAGAAAGGAGGTTGGCACTTAGTAAGACCCTGTAAAAGCAACTGTGCAATCAAGGCAATATGCGCAGCTAAGGTTCCTTTAGGACTTGGCTCTGTACCTCTCGATTGCCCTTACTATGGAATAGAAGGCCCCAGAGGCCCCGGGCTCTGAGGAGCCAGCTGCGGTGAGGACATTTCTTGGCACCTAGCATTATTTCCATCAGTTCTTTCACTCTTATTGTCATGGTCCTGTTGCACTGCATGTCCGGGCTGGTGGCACCCAGGTTCTGCTGTCACTCTGCTCCTGGTCATAAATCCCCACCAATACCCAGCTGGAGAAGCAGAGCTCTGGAACTGTCTGAGTCTCCCTCATTTCACCTGAACCTCCGCCCTGCTCTTGGTTGTAATCTCCGCAACTGCTGTGGCTTGCGCTCCCACTGCCTGTGATGTTTCTCTGCCTCTCTCTGTCTCGGGCCAGCCGTTATTTCCTGTGTTTTGCCTGGGACTTGGGCCCACTGGGAATGCAGCCTGGGTGCCACTTAAAGCCCCAAATGAGTATGCACCCCTGTCCACCTTCAGGGGGCTCGCAGGGCTTGCCAGACATCAGTGAGGACAGCACAGGCGTCACATTTCAGATGGCGCTGGGGAAATGTGCGCCCAGCCTCTGGCCTGCTGCTGTCTGTGATCTGTGGACCGCATCCAGGCTGCGGGGGCAGGGGCCTTGTATTCCCAGGGGCCGTGGCGGCTTTCCCCCAGCTTCTGTCTGGGGGCCGAGAACATGAGGCGACTCCTTTGTGCTGCTGCTGCCAAGCCGGAAGGCAGGGGCCTTCAGATGGGGAGCAGATGCCCCCACCCACATGTCTGCGGGCGCAGCCAGCCTCGGGGCCGCAGGGACGGATTTTCAGGACACCTGCCATATGCTCCGGAGGCCTGAGCAAAGAAAAGTTTCCATGACAGCCTGAAATCCTATTCATCCCTCCGCCCTCCTCCCTGGCCAACAGGCAGCCACGAGGGGTCACCTTTCCTTGGGACGTTGGCAGTCCTGGCTAATTTGGTCCCAAGTATTGCGAGATAAGAGCTAGGATTCTGGCCCACCTGTCAGTGCCCGGCTTTCCCGAGCTGCTTCCAGATCAGGGCTTTTGCAGAGGTGGATCCTTCTGAGCCCCTGACGGTTCCCCCTGCCCCTGTGACCCAGGAATCAGACAAGGGCCCCTGTCTGCAAGCCTGCAGGAGGTCAGAAGGCAGAGCTCTTAGGTCATTCCTCAGAGTATGCAGGACAAGACCTCTCCTTTGTGTCTGTAACCCAGCTAATCGCTTCTCCCACCTGAACGCAGGACAGAACTGCAGGCTGCAGGAGAGGTGCAGATGCGCAGCAGGCACAGGAAAACCACCCCATCCTTTAGTCTCCTGCATCACCCACGACTATTCTGTAGCTATTCTCGTTACTTAATGAAAGGATGGCTTGACCATGCGGAAGCCCCGGGAATGCCAGGCAAGCCAGCCTTGATGGTGAACCCTGACTGTCCACACCGAGGCCGCAGCTTCGGGACATGCTGGCTCCTCCCTGAGCAGGCATTTCCGGAGGCACGTTCAAGCCCAGCCTCTGCAGTCCTGCTCTCAGATGCCCATTTTGGACATTCAGAGAGGCCAGCTAGCATGTCCAAGGTCTCACTGCTTGGTGCTTTTTTTTTTTTTTTTTAAAGTGTGGTATAATTTGTACCATAATAAAAATAGCAGTGAGATAGCTCAGTGGCTTCAGTGCCTGCCTGGCAAGTGCATGGTCCTGAGTTCGATCCCTGGTACTTGGGGGGAGTGGGAGCCATTTTAAAGTATGCAGTGTGGGCTGGCAAGATAGCTCAGCATGGGGCTGGTGAGATGGCTCAGTGGTCTAAAGCACCTATGTAGAACAAGCTTAGCAAAGCACAAGGGACCGCGGTTCAATTCCCCAGCCCCACATGCCAGCCAGCCCCGCCCCCTGGTGGGTTGAGTGGGTTGAGCTGGACACACACACACACACACACACACACACACACGTGCAAATAAATAAATAAAATTAAAAAAAAAAAAAAGATAGCTCAGCAGACTAAGTGGCTGCTTAGGCAAGCGTAGGGACCACAGTTCGATCCCCAGCACCACATGCCACAGAGTCCAGGTGTAGTGGCATGCACCTGTAATCCCAGTGCTGGGGAGGCTGAAAGTAGGAAGATCACTATGAGTCTGCGCTGTGTAGTGAGACCCTGCAACAACCAAATAAATAAATAAATAAAGTATGCAGTGCAATGGCATTTTCTTAGTTCCAGAATGTTTTCATCAGCCTTAAAGGAACCTTGGGGCTTGTCCAACCGTTGTTTTCCATTCCTTCCCTTCCCTATCCCTGGCAACCACTAATTGGCTTTCCATCTGGGTGGATTTGCCTTTTCCGACTCCATCACAGAAAGGATCGAACAATGTGTGACCCTCGGGGTCCAGCTCCCTCCTCTTCCTGTGGTGTGATTGAAAGCTTCCCACAGTAGCGTGTGTCAGACCCATTCCTCGGAGAGCTGGCTCACACAGTTCTACACGGGGCCGTGCAGTCCTCTGTGGAGGGGCGTTTGGTTCGTGTGCCCCCTTTGCCTGTCATGAATAGTGCTCCTGTGACCCTGTGGGTGCCGGCTACATTTGAACACTTGCTTGTGTATGTTCAGGTATGCACTGGGGGATGACTTGCAGCTCCTTTTTTAACTGTGTTGAATGATTTGTGTTTTGCTTTGGCTTATTGACCGCTGAGCAGAGGTGACCGGACTGTTGAGTCTTTAGCCCTAGGGTAGGGACCACCCGGGGAAGCAGCATGCGCAGGCAAGGAAGTGAGAAAGACAGGAGTGGCCTTTTGCTCGGGTCCCATCTGGTACGTGTGAGGCCCCATCATTGTGCAAGAAGTATGAGCTACAGGCCGGTTGTGGTGCTGCATGCCTGCAATCCCAGTACTCAGGAGACAGGCAGGAGGAGCGCCATAAGTTCAAGGCCAGCCTAACTACAAAGCAAGACCCTGTCTCAAAAAACAAATAAATAAGTGGAGTATGAGATGTTTTTTTTGTTGTTGTTGTTTGTTTGTTTGTTTGTTTGTTTGTTTGTTTTAAAGCAATAGAAAAAATTACTGCCTCCACCTTCACAGTTCCCTCTGCACAGTTTGGCATGCACCTTGGTGGACAGATGCTCTTACATGTGTTTATCACTGAGAAAACCATTTTCATACTGGGGGGGTTTATATGCATGCTAATTGCCCGGTGAGCAGAACTGCCAGACACCTTCTTGCTCAATACCCCCCAGCCCCTGGCCCATCATACTTCCTCCCTGCTAACACGCAGTTTCTCTCTTTGTCGTTTCTGGCTCCAACTCCCTCCCTCGGAAAACGGGGCTTTTCACTGCCCAGTTGTTTTTCTCTGAACCTGAGGCTTTCAGTCTGAGAAGCAATGGAAAGTGGGGCTGACAGGTCCTTTTGCATCTGGGTGTAGCACCGTGATGTCCCAGATTTGTTTTTTTCTTTTTTCTTTTTTCTTTTTTTGGCAAAACCAGGAATTGAACTCAAGCCCTTGCACTTGCTAGGCAAGCGCTTATTCTACTGAGCCATTTCCCTGGCCCCAGTGTCCCTATTTTTAAGTGGTTTTTAATCGGTGAGGGGCCCCTCTGCTAAGAAAGGACCCCACTTCTGGGCCTGGAGCCTCTGCCGGCTGGGCTCTGTCAGCC